AAGGACCTTGGGCTTGTTTTTCACCCTCTGAAGGCTTCGTAGGTTTTCCTAAAGTCTGGGGAGGATGAAAACGGCCTTCCCCGACCCCTCCGGAAGGCTGAAAATCAGCTGGCCAGTGTGCACATGCACACTGGAGCTGAGAGCTGCCATGCCGGCAAATATGGCTCAACGTGCCACAGGTTCGCCATCACTGGTATAGCCATTGCATAGCTTTAACAATAAAATTACACACTGCATTACATGTAAAGAAAACATGTTTTCCTCTCTGACGATGCACTTACATCTGCCCAATGAAAATGGCAATAGCGCATAGTCTTACACAGCGATTCCCAGTGCTTTAGAGCCCTCTTTAAACGGTTTACGGATATCAGCACGTTGCCTCCAGCAATCTGGGTCCTCATTTTACAGAGCTCAGAATGAGGGAAGGCTGGCAGTTGGCAGAGTCGACCTGCAGCCACCATGGCAGGGGCGCATATACAGGGCTGGAAAGCACCTGAAGGAGAGGAGACGGCATCTCTGGTGCCAAACACTCTCCGTCCCCGACTTCGTTGCTTAGGGCTGCAGGCAGGTTTCCCTGGCTCTGTTCTAGGAACAGCGAAGTGATGTGCTGAAGGCAACTGTTGCTACACAGACATATGCGGCATGTTGGCAAGTCAGAGGGACCACATATTTTTGGATCAAAGCCCGTGTTTGTGCAGTGATACTGAATCATTGCAATCCTTACCAAAGAAACAACGATTTTACCTTTCTTAATAATGCCACCATGTCTTTTGACCAAGCTGTTGTATACTGGACGCTCACGGTGCTGAACAGCTGAACTAGCGATTCCACAGGACTATTGGAATGGATGTCATAAGGCCTCTGGGGGGGTGGGGGAGATGAATAAATGGAAATAGATGAAAACTCCACATTTATTTATCATAACATCAAGCATTTAATTAATACAGTTATTTAGACTGCTGTAATACTATTATTACTCTATTACTATCACCATGATGCTTTGGTCCCCCTGCATTTCAACTCCTACAAGAAGGTATAAGGGGCTCCCTTGAGACCCTTTTGAAGCTGCAGCTGTTTCTGAATGCTGTGGAACAGGCATTGAAGGGCATGCACACACACGTGATGGCATCTTTCTTAAGCTCCACTGGCTGCCAGTGGTCTTCTGGATGTGATTCAAGATCCAAAAGACCATCTGTCTCCCATCTGTACTCTCTGTACCGGAGGGTTGGACAGGATCCACATGCTCCAGATCCCACTCCTTTAACAATGGAACCTGAACAGACCCACAAAGTTGTCTTGCAGCCATTTGAAGTGCGTAGAAACCCCCACCTTAGCTTTATTTAAAGGAGTCCTTAGGCTCTGGAGGGTGGGGCCCTTTGTGGGATGACTGGTTTGTTATGAGACTCCATCCCTTTTCTCAGATGTTTTGTTTTATTTTGTTCCATATTGTTTTGCCTCAAATTGCTTAATATTGTACCATGAAGGAGTTGAGCAGCAGACAGGTGATGATAGATAGATAGACAGACAGACAGACAGACAGACAGACAGACAGACAGACAGACAGATGATGGACAATGGGTGGATGGATAATAGAGAGACCGAGAAACAGAGACACNGCTTCGATGGAGAGGACGGATGGACTGTGTTTGCAAGGGACAAAGCACCTCCATTGCATATTATATCAACATAATAAACCAAACCAAATAATGGTTTTTAGACAAAAGTACATATGTCAAAAATGCAAACAACTGCCATCCTTGGTCAGTCTCTGAAGTTGATTTAGTTGCATTCAATTCATTCAAATGTGGCAATCCAAAATTTAACTGCATTATGATTAGCGATCCCCAACTTTTCTAGGTGGGCGGCCCTGGATTGTTGTGGTTGTTAAGCATTTTCGATTTCCCCATTGACTTTGCTTATTGGAAGCTGACTGGATTCTGATCATGTGATTTTTTTTAATAGGAGGACCAGTTATAGGTCTTTTTTTTTTCAATGGTGGTGTCATTTTGAGCAATAAATGGTTGTAAATTGCGGATTCCCCCTACTGAGAAGATGTCTTGTAAAAGAGAGATTCTCAGTGACATATACCAGTGGTGGGATTCACATTTTTTTTACTACCAGTTCTGTGGATGTGGCATGGCTTGGTGGGTGTGGCTTGGTGGGCGTGGCAGGGGAAGGTTACTGCAAAATCCCCATTCCCTCGCGATCAGCTGGGACTCGGGAGGCAGAGAACAGATGGGGCGGGGCCAGCCAGAGGTGGTATTTACTGGTTCTACAAACTACTCAAAATTTCCGCTACCGGTTCTCCAGAACTGTTCAGAACTTACTGAATACCACATCTGACCTATACCCATTAGTTAGCTGCTGTAGTTTGGAGGGGGTCTGTAAACACGGCCAAGATTACAGGATAGCCCTATATTTTAGTCCTGAGATGGCCAATTATCACAGGTAGCTGTGAGAGAAATCTCTGGATGCCTCCGTGTTGGTCATGGTTTCTGTATTCAGAAACAAAACAATGGCCCAACTCTCCCCAAAACTCTTTCTTTCTTTTGCCTTTTCTCAATGGCCTCAACCCTATCAAGCATATAAACATTGGCAGCTTTGAGAATCATATTTCTTACTGAGCTTAATTGAAGCAAGCAGCCAACAGTTATGAGCAATTCCAAGTTTAATCCACAAGAGCTGATTTGGCACGTTCTGTTTTTCTGACAGCTTGATGCAAATACTAATAAAAACCAGACATATTCCAAATGGACAGATTTATAAGCATTCGGTAAGTTAGAAAATGTCTTGGCTCCTTCCTTCCTTCCTTCCTTCCTTCCTTCCTTCCTTCCTTCCTTCCTTCCT